TATCCCATTTGTAAATAGAGAAGAAAATGTTGCATATGGGTTACTTTTTATTACTTTTGTTTCATGTCAGTTTTATTTTAATGTTTTTTTTTTTAAATTTAAGGATTTATAAATTAGAATTCTTTCTTACTTGCAACACCAGCGTTAATTGTATAGAAAAATCCTAGATTATTACTACTGCATAAAATATAACCAATAAAACTGCAAAATTACTATTGCCATCATTTTTGATGGTGTGAGTAAACTAGTTAATAATAATAATTGACAATGTCTGATTGAAGAAATTGAAATCATATAACTGCAGTTATCTCCCTTGAAGACGGTTACGTGAGTTGCTATAAAAAGCAATCAAAATTAAGATGAAAAAATATGAGACAAAAATTAGTAAGTGACAATTATCTATTGAAAAAAATTCACATAATACAGTAGTTATTTCCCCTGAAAATATGATCTAGGAGTTGCAATAACAAACTGTTGGAAGTAAGATGAAAGAAATCTTAATAAAAACGGATACTAATTGAAAATTTTAAAGGTGATTCATATTTTAGTAGAAACGGACGACATTCATGTAATTAATGTAGTAAAATATCATCTTGATTGTCTGTCTTTGACAGAATATGCTGAGCAATTTATCTTGGTATGAGACACTTTTTTCAGCCATAGGGGTTTACCACCAAATTAAGTGATAAAATATTCCACAACAAAATACCAATATGATATATGTTACAGATTGTTACACTGTCCAGAATTTCCGTCCTAATAAAAATACTGTATCCAAGCACAACAAAGATCTTTGGCATTTTTCCTAAATCCACCAAAACATAATTAACAGGTTATTTAAAGCCAGAAAATATTTTTAGATTATAAGTTTATTTAGATATTAGTGATTTAGTAATACGTCTTACTAGTTAACCCATAGCTGGAGGGAGAAGAGGTGGAGTCATACCTTTCCCAAGTGTATTTGCGCGTAAGGTATTATAATGAACCCAACTGGAATTGGAACTTGGCTCTCCGATTTACAATTCCAAAGTTACAGTGTCTTATTTCTATCTGGATTTTATGGAATGAGCAGTTATAAGTATTTACATTACTTACATCCGGACTAATGTCCTTATCTTCATTCTTATTATCACAAAGTTTCTGTCGGGTAGTACAGACCCAGACTCAATAGAAACAAGCTATGTAATAACTGAACAGTAGATGAGATATTTCAAGACATGGGAAGGGTAAAGGGGGACAATCTATTCCAACAGGTTAAATAAAAAAGGTTAAGTTCTAAAAGCACATGATGATGGCCGGTAGGCATAACAGCTGAAACGTTATGATAATAACAACAAAGATGGGTACATTAGTCCGAATATAGATATTGTCTTGTGTTTATAATTTATGTGCTTTTCCTTTGATTTCTGGTGTGTACACATTTCTTTCCGGGTCCCGTCCAGAGACCTGAGGTCAGAAATGGCATAATGAAATTTTCCACTGACCAATTAAAAAAAACAAAAAAAAACAAAAGAAAAACACATATTTTACATAGATAAAGCCTTTCGTAAGATGAGGGGTGTACTCGTGAGAAGAAACTTTATTATTATTATTATTATTATTATTATTATTATTACAATTAGGTAGAACTAGCTCGTAGACTGAAGTCAAAGGCCCAGGCGAATTTTTCCCATGATGGAATTAACCGATACGAATCCGTGACCAAGGCGAGCCTTCAACTGGGAGGACATCAGCTATGGAGGTGGGGTGGGTTCTACCAAGTCTACCTACCCAAGACACGCTACGTTTGTATGAATGCCTTTCATAGCGGATATGACTGTTCAAGTGTTTATTTTACTCTCGATTTGTTCTTATCGCTATTCAATTGGGTTATATGCTCCGTCATGTTGATACATTTGAAACTGTCCCATAAAACGACCAACGAAAGAAGAAAACAAAAAAATGAGATCACAACACAGACGATAACCTTGCCAAGTACGCTGACATTATTCGACTCGCTCTGATAGAGTATACTTAATCCACTAGAGTATTCAGCGTACTGTTAGAAAAACAAGACACAATTTTGTATTCAATCAAGACGAATGCGACATTTTCTACGTTGGGACAAATATAAAAGATATCGTTTGTAACTGCTTAGTGCAAAAAAAAGAAACAATATTTGATGAAAAAAAAACAATACTTAGTTTGTTACATTTTATGAAAAGAAACAGTTTATAACTTATTTTTATGATATTTGATTAAAACAAACAACTTTTTGGTGACAATTGATTCCAGAAAAGAAACGAAAAATAAATCACGATGGAAACTGTTCATTTTGAAAATTTAATGGAATGATATTTCCAATCAGAATTTGAATATTTATTCTGACATTTATTCAATACTAGTTTTTACTTTGCATTTAAAAATTATGTTTTCTTTAAAGCAATAGCAAATAAGAACAAATCGATAGCCATGTTACCATTATCATAATTATAAAAAATCGATATATAAAAATTAAACAAAACACGTCTAACTACAGTTTTAAATTTACATTTTAACATTTCTATCAAAAGGAAAATAGAAAATTAAGGAGAGCGTAGGTAAATATCCTTTTCTTTCACAGAATCAAGCATTCCAACACCGAGGTGAGACTAGTGGCTGACAAATAAGAAGAGGACTGTTTTTTTTTCCTTTGAGTAACTCACATGCTTCCTAAAATGCTTGATGTATTCTAGAGAGAGTTCTTTCATCGTCCATCAAGATGAGTTATCTCAACCAATACAATCAATAGATTCATCCATTTCATAATAAACTGTATTTTTGAAAAAAGTTTCTGTGAAAGGGTGAAATAAAAATACCAATGGCACAGACAACAGCACATTTTTTTTTTACTATTGTTCACCCAATACAAGACTCCAGAGCTACTCAAGGTAGAGGGTTGCTGAATGAGGTTGTTGTAAATACATAAAACGAAGAGGTAAGAAGTGCATATCAAAAGGTTATGTAGAATAACAGTTGATCCTTCATAAGATTAACATTGTAGTGATAAGGAAACCATCCTCTAGAGAGCCTGTTCCACAAAGTGACAGTTCTGGAGAATAAGCTCCTTAAGTGGAACTTCCTCCTTACATATGGAATACGAAGAGAATCAGGATGCCTTGACGCCATATATGTGGCATTGTAAATCCTTGCTGTGGAGGTCTTACTTATTACAGTTACCATAATACCACAAGCTTCCCATGACGTCCTAGCTCGTCCCCATATATACAATTTTTTGTGAATGGGAGAAGAATGTTATTAGCAACTTTTAAATCTTTTGAACCACAATGTGTATTTACAATGTCCAAAAATATATTTACAGTAACTAAAGAAAAAAGGGGTTAGTAATAGAAGACCTCCACAATTCTTTAGAGAAATCTAAAACAGCAAGAACAGTATTTCAAAAACTTCCATAATTCCATTTTGAATAGTAATAGTTTCCGACATTTTTCTTTTAAGTTTGAAGCATATGTGCTATAATGACTAAAAGTTTTGCATGAACATTTTTCAACCTGTTAAGTAGATTTTAAAAACATTTTCTTAGTTCATTCTATAATTTGTTGCATGAATCAATCAAATTTGTTAATCAGTGTCAATGAATATATATGCCTTTTACATCAGTGCAATAATAGACATAGCTTGTTTCAAAATAAGAAATAATTTGCATATGTTAATCAATGTCATAAGGATCAGATCTATTGATCCAATAACTTGTTCTGATCCACCATGGTTGCATTTAAGTAAGACGACAGAAAGTAAGGCACAGAGATCCGAAGGTGCATCAGAATAGCGGAAGTGCCTTCCAGAAAGTAAGCTCAATGGTACCTAGACATTTTCCTCTATCGTACCTAGACATTTTCCTCTATCGTACCTAGACATTTTCCTCTATTGTACCTAGACTTTAGGAATTTAAGCGCAGCATTAGATTGGCGGCAGGGTCTCATCATTTTACAGTTCAAATGGCTAGATATAACCGTAAGTTCTATGCTAACAGTTTCTTCTATCGCACTTCTCGCTTGTGGAACTCTCTTCCGGATTCCTGCTTTCAGTCAACTCTGACCTTCAAAAATTTATATGCAATGTCAATCATTATCTTGTCTTCTTAATGCTTGTTCTTTTATTGTTCTCTCTCCTTAGCAGTTTTTTTTCTCATATTCTCTATCATTCACTCTTGCATTTTAGTGACTTTATTGCCTTGCTAGAGATGAAATGATTAAAAAAAGAAGCAAAATATTAAGTCATGGGAATGTTTCTATATAAACAAAGAAAAGCTTGCAGAACTACTAAGTCATATATATATATATATATATATATATATATATATATATATATATACTCCTGTATAGCAGTGAATTCGGGACAATTTCTTTACAGATGAAGAAGTAACTCTAAGCGGCAGAGATGTGGTTCTACAGAAGGATGTTGAGCAACACGGAAGTTATATAGAAAATAAAGACTAGAAATACACCCATATTTAAAATCAGAAAGAGACAGTTGTAATTTCTGGGACACATTTTGAGGAAGGATGGCTTAGAAATGTAATGCTTAGAAAACGTATTGAGAGAAGGAAGGATCGAAACAGCGATCAACTTGCTTAATGAGTTTGTGTAACAGAGCCAGCATAAAGAAGGGTGGTAAACAATCAAACTTTGCTTAGAGTTATAAGAGACAAGAAGTTGTAGAGAGCTATGCTTTCTCACCTCCTAAAGGTACATAAATGATGATGGTATTATGTTCTGACACTTTTTCTTTTTTTACAGGGGTAGGTTTGTACTGTCAGTGAGGTAGGTTGATACTGCGCTCCAACTGAATCAAAGACAGAATAATATTAAAAATGATACGTACCAGCCGACTGGAACGTGAGTATGGAAAGTAATTAATTGACCCGCCATAATTGAGGTGGCGATATTTATTCGCATAACTGAAGATAGAGAGCTACTTTTACATTCCACGTGTTAATCGCATCCGTCTACGTACGGAATATATCATGTGGAATACACCGGTTCTCGTCCGATCACCGAAGCAACCTCGAACCTAGTTAGTACTTAGATGGTTGACCACTTGAGTATACCACGTGCTGTAATCTTCTTCGCGGTATGCTGGTAGTGTGACGGTTATTGGCACGGAAAGTGGAATCGGCGAACCGAATTCAAATATTTTCTGCGTAAAATTTTGTGGTCACTTTCGTACAGCTAACTATAGGAAAGGCATGAATCCATCTCTTCTGGATGGATTCAGATAGCTTTTCTATTTAACCGTGTAATAGGTCAGTATCAGAAAAGGTAAGTTCTGAAATCCAAACAGAAACGATATAAAGGTTATATATACGGTTTGGATTGGTCACCTCGACGTGGTGTAATGGTTAGGAAGCTTGTCATGCTAGATCAATTACGACTGAGTAGTGAGTTCGATCCTCACTGGGTACCCCATACTTTCGACCTAAGCCGGGCTTAGAAAATCGCTATACGGTTTGGATACCAGAAGACAATGGAAAACGTTCCATTTTCTTTACCAATAAGTCATGGCATTTCATAGATGACAATGAAAACGTCGATTTAAACGAATTTCCTGACAACTTAGGAAAATGTCACATATGGTCGTTTTTTAGCGCAGACTCACACAATGCAGCACACAACTCAAGATCAAATGTTATGTTGTAGAATGTAAAAATTGCCCAATTCCATCAATCATTACCGCAAACATCAATCCACGCCACTTAATGTATCCATCTGAAGTGTAGGAGACTGTGTTGAGGACGAATCTCCAGCCATTAGATCTCAAATATACCCAACCGAAGACGACTTAAGGTTACAACCATCAATTTTTATGTCCTCAATTTTCTGAAACTATATAAATGACCGGAGTAATGATCAACACTATACCCTATAGGTCAAAAAAAAGGGTTTACAACTTATGTCCTAACCCTATATAAAAAAAATAACTTCTTATAGAGCAGTGATACACAGTGCTCCAGATCATATTGCTACCATTGAGATTTCAGTTTTTCTCAGTACCCCCCCCCTATTTTGAATTGTCACTAAAAAAATATTTTCGCTTTTATACTTATGACTATACATATGTCAGAAATTCCTCCTCAAATACCCCCACTAATTATTTTACCCACTTGTATATTTAATATATCTTCCCTGGAAATAAAATTGTTCCCGTTTTAAAATCGCAGAGAATTTAATATTGAAAGGACATATAATGAGGAAAGAAAAACTTGAGACTTTAACACTCAAAAGATTTACTGAAGGAAAGAGATGCAGAGGCAAACAGTGAATCATCTACTAAATGATAAGTGATCAAAAGTTATTTAGCGCTAAAAAAACAGGAAGTTTTGAAGAGCCATGATCGCCAAAACCTGAAAACTTATGAAACAAAGAAGAAATTATATAGGTTACATTATTCACCATACACAATTGAAATTATCCCAATTTTGTAAATTTCAGAAATTGATTTAAAAAATACTAGATTTTTTAAACTTTTCATTCTTTTTTGAGATTTTTTCTTTCTTAGATTTGATATTTATTTTAATTTTGCAATCACTTTTTCTTCTTTTTACTTTTTGCTTTTTTTTTTACTTTTTTCTTTTCTTTTTCTTTTCCATTTTTTTTTTTTTTTTTCGAGTCGATGAGTTAGCCCCACCAATGAGCTTGTCACGAAATTTGCTATTCAAATTCTGGCCTATCTCTATATTTTAACCTCAGTTACCAACGCTCGAGATAAGTTTTCGACCGATATACTTTGTAAGACGCTAAGTAGGATAATTAAAACAAAAAATTAAGATTAGATGCGTACATCATCCGTATTCGAGCACACGCACGTCCTTTTTGTTCGAAATGCCTCAACTGATTGCTACAAAATTAGACCAAAGAAATGCGATACCTAGGGTTTAAAATGAATTTTTAAAAATGAAAAATCTTTCTTGAAACATTTTAGTTTTAATTTCAAGTTAATAGATTGAATTTAATATTTCCAATAAGCAAAATACTTTACTGTGTTTCTAAAATAATTTAAATTGACTGAAAGGAGATTTTTAATCGCTAAAATCGCTGATTTTAACGCCATTTTAGCCATCTGTAAGCAAAATGTAATTCTCTTTATTAAAAAACTTTTCAAAAATAAAATATATTTTTCTGTAACTTTATTTGAGGAATATTAGCTGATTTAAAGTTTAATTAATCTGACTTGAAAGAAATATTACTTACTTTTAATTCAAATATCGCAGAAATGCATTTTTTACATGGTGTAGGTGTTTATTTAAAGTGTTGACATTTTGACTGACAGCCGAAAGTTTATCTAACTTCTTTCTACAGGTGACATATCTGTAAAAATTACTTCAGGAATATAACGTGAGCGCCTTTTTTATGTAATTTTTAACTGCCCAGTAATCTTAAAAATTTATGAAAATATTCTCCGTAATCTAAAGTTTTATTGAATTTTATGTACTTTGGTTTTAAATTTACTATAGTTAACGCTCTTAATTTCTGATAATGTCATGTGTGGACGTTCGTATTTACAAAAATTATACACACAAAAATTCTAAATTTTTTTAAATATTGGGATGCGATGAATTATAGTAAGATTTTCCATTTATAATTAGTAAATATAGTTTTTACCTAATAATAATATCACCTAATCGCTCCAAAGTAATACAGACATTTAAAAGATTTAAAACTATAAATTAATTAAAAATTTATCAAAATTAAAATAATTCTTGTGAAAATTCATTAAAATATTTTTTCTTAAGACAATAGTGTCCATAATATATCTTATTCATAAAAGAAATTCAAAGCATATCTAATTAAATAATGTCGTAGTTTTATTGTATTTTTTATCTTATGATTCACAGCAGATTTTCGGTTAAGTAATGGTCCTGTTTTACAAATAAAAATTCATGATTTAAATTCTCCAGGGAGTTCTACGCAAAGCTAATATAAACAATAATTGGCAGAAAAAATCATTTCTAGAAATTTCATAAAATTAAAGGTGGGGTGGGGGGTTGTAACAGATGTAACAAAAATGTTTGGGTTTTTTTTTCTAAAAAAAGAAACATTACTAAAATAATTCCTGAAAGTTTCACTAAAATCCGACAATTATTTAATTTTTTCAAGAATTTTCAAATCAAAGCGATTTTTCGCCGCAAAAAACGACCCTAAAATTTTCTTTATTAGTCTCTGGTCGCACGCCTACGCAAGAAAAAAAATTTTTAACTAAAATTTCTAACGTTCTAAAAAGTACCAAAAACTATAATTTAATAATTAAAAAATCTTTTGGTCTTTCCTCTTAACACTGACATAAAAATTTTGATGAAAAGTTTCTTTTTTATTAAGTCTGGAGCATTTTTCCAACAGGTATGCTCTTTTAAAAGATTTTGAGGAGGTCCCTATAAAAAGTTTATATTTCTAACCATGTTGGTAATTTGTCATAGTTACAATTAACATAGTAAATAAGCTTCGAATTATTGTAGTAAAATTTCAAACTGCGATTTATTTACAACAAACCTATTCGATGTAAAAAATATAATTTGTTTTTTCTGTTACATTTCATAACCGGCAATCTTATTGTTGTAACGTAGGGTAGGTTACTGAATAGAATATTCACACGAAGGTTGGTAATGAAGGATAATACTTAGGACGCAACAACACATAAAAGATTCGCCAGCGGCGCGTAGAAGTAGTCAACTGCTAGAAGTGAGTCAAGTGAATTCCACAATGAATCTCCAACAGCAGTCAGATGTGGCATAAGGCCGAATTTAATGTGGGATATCCAAGCCCGTAGGCTCGGCCAAAAATTCCACGTAGAACCCATATAAAACGGGGTCGGGTATCTGTTTCCTTAGACGAGACTCTGCCCTTCGACATAGCTTTGTCTGGGGATCCTCTCAGCCCGGAAGCAGAGTGTTTGACCAGCACAGCTGGAGACGAATCTGCAACTGCGGGATATCTACCAACCGTCCCACGCGGTCAGATGTTTCACAAGGCCGAATTTAACGAGCCCATAGGCTCGGCCAAAGATTCCCCGTAAACCCCGTATAAAACGGGATCCGGTAGCTGTTTCCCGAGATGAGACTCTGCCCTTCGACATAGATTTAGAAAGATATTTTAGTTATTTATTAAATATCGTTACTCACAGTTTACAGGGGAAAAAGCATTTGTGTTGACGAGCTGGCATTTTTTAAGTTGACTACCTTTGGCTTGTTGACCGATTACAACTTCGTTTTATTTTCTGACTTTCTTTTCATAATAAACAGTCTTATTATTTTAAATGTTTATAGAAATTAACACGAGTCCGATATGTAAAGAATAATCAAGAACCTATACTGACATCAAACTTCCTGTGTACGGATAGAAAATGAATTCCGTGAATATACAAAAATAAAGGGGTGTACGACAAGGATGGGTCTTCTCACCATACTTATTCAACCTATTTAGTAAGACGATTCTGAGAGAATTATAAGTCCTTCATTACTGACGGCCACAATTTTAATAACATAAGATGACACAGTGCTGATAGCAGACACAGAAAAGAAACTACAAGAACTCCTACAAAAGGTAATGAAGGAAATAGAGAAGAAAGAACTAATGATCAAATGCAAGAAGATAGAATGCATTGTTGTTAGCAAAAGGAACAGCCCAACATGCAAATTACAAATCGGAGATACCAAAATCAAACAAGTATAACTATTTAAATATTTGGGAAGTGTTTTAACAGTGGACAGAAAGTGCAACACTGAAATCCGAAGATGCCCTGGCATAGCGAAAGATACCTTCTAAAAGCTAAAGAAAGTATTAAAACAGGAAAATTTCATTAGAAACAAAAAAAGACTACTGAACCGTTACGTAATGTTACTTGGACGGCAAATTGTTTTCTTGTTTTTTTTGAAAATGGGTATCAATAGTCGAAACCTAAATCATGCTTCACATCGTCTCCAGACCACAGCTCAACAGGCATCGAGTTGAATCTGGTCAAAATCGAAAATAAGTAAAGTTAAATGAAATCATGCTTGCAACACAATGCTACTTCCAAAGTGAAACACATCTGTTTATTTTACATTCTACGACATTAATAACGGTCGCTA